ACTTATACAAAAAGAGGTCTTTCTGCACAAGTAGAACTCCAGCGTAAGTAGGGAAACATGCAGTACAAAATAGGCTCGCTCAGAGAATTTATTACAAATTTCGAAAAGACCGTATCAGAATTAGGAAGCTGTGGAGGAATTATCGATACTAGTGAGAAAATATCACAACTATTAGCTTCAATACCAGAGTCCTACCAAGCCGTCGCTACAACTATAGACGTGATATTCACTCAAAATCCGAATGATATGACTTTCCAGTTTGTAAAAAATAAGTTGCTGCAAGAAGAAAGTCGCCAGATGAAAGCAAGCTTAACATCCGCAGATAACGTCATTGTCAATCCAATCGCTTTTGCAAGTGGAAGCGAAAGAGGCAGAAATTTCTTTAAGAATCGAGGCAGAAGCAATCCATTTAGAAAAGGTGTTTTTCGATATAAATGCTATAATTGCGGAAAACAAGGTCACAAGCGAAGTGAATGTCGTATGCTAATAAATAAAAATAGTAATGCTGAAACTCATGTAGCAGAAGAAAATGAAGAAGAGGTAGCTTTTATAACAGAGCAAGTTTTTAAACAAACTAATGATAACGGTAACCAAATTGCTGTCAAGGTTGACAAAGTAACGGAAAATGAAGTATTGTCGATTCTGGTGCTTCAAATCATCTAGTGAATGCAGAAACTGGACAATATTTGATAGAGGAAGAAAATGTGGATCTATCAATAAACGTTGCAAAAAGGGGAATACAATTGAAAGCTCATAAAAAGGGTAATCTATCAGTCCAAAATCAAAACGGTTTAAAAATCAAAATAAAGAATGTGCTGCAATGCAATGAATTAGAATATAATCTACTGTCTGTTAAAAAACTAGAGAATGAAGGACTGAGCGTTATATTTGCAGATAATTTCGTAAGAATATTGGACAAGAAGTCAAAAATACTTGTCGAAGGTCGAATTATGGGAAATTTGTATATAGTGTCATTTTTAAATAGAAACATGTATGCAAATATATCAGAAGAAAAAGATTTAATACATCGACGAATGGGCCATTCTTTTCATTACCCCGCACAAAGTTTATGTGATGTATGCTTAAAGGGTAAACAGACACTTGCAACCTTTAAATGTATCCCTGAAGAAAGAAAGTCAAAAATAATACTAGAAATTGTGTCGTCAGATGTAGCAGGTCCCTTTACACCAGCCACTCATGATGGATATAAGTTTTACGTACTCTTTATAGACCATTTTTCCCATTTTGCTCATGTATATCTGTTAAAGAATAAAAGTGAAGTATTCGTTAAGTTTAAAGAGTATGAAGCAATCGTAAATGCTAAGTTTCAAATGAAAATATCCAAACTGCGTTGTGATAATGGCGGAGAGTACAGTTCACACGAGTTTCAAATGTTTTGCAGTGAGAAAGGAATTAAAGTCCAATACACAGTAGCAAGGAATCCGGAGCAGAATGGTGTAAGTGAAAGATTGAATCGTACCATTATGAATATGACTCGCTGTCTGCTCATAGATGCTCAAATGCCTAAAATGTTGTGCTGTCTACATTATTAACAGATTACCAACTTCTTCAACAAACATGATTCCAGCAGAGGTGTGGTACAATCATAAGATAAACACTGAAAACATGAGAGTTTTTGGTTGTACAGGTCATGTTCATATACCAAAAGAGACCAGGGGAAAATTAGATCAGCAAAGCATTCCTTTGATAATGTTTCTAATGGTTATCGTATGTGGGATCCAAACAAATTTAAAATTCACGATAATAAATTATCAAAACTCAAATGTAATAGTAGCAAAATGAAATAAAATGAATTTAGCTCAAAGCCGAATATCACATAAAATATAACGACCGTTTCCCCTTCCGAAAACAACTACTCCTTCGGATGTAATTCAATGCCTGTTGTGGTATTAGCCAAAGGAGTAGTTGTTTTCGGAAGGGGAAACGGTCGTTATATTTTATGTGATATTCGGCTTTCAGCTAAATTCATTTTATTTCAAATTTAAAATTGTTTCAGCACGAAGTGTGGTATTTGATGAGAAATATACATTTCAAAAGAATTTGGTAGGCACAATATCTACCACTCGGTTTTGATAATCCTGAAGAAGATAAAAAAAGTCAAGTTGATCCTGTTCGGAACATAGAAGAATCTACAAATCTAAGACAAATCTAAGACAAGACAAATCTAAGACAAAGTTCAAGAGAAAATAGATTGCCAACAAGATTTGAAGACTATGAAATGAATTTTATGGCAGCATTGTCTACAGGTTGTTTACCAACAGAAAATCCTTCGAGTTATGAGGAAGCTATTCAAAATAAAGGCTGGAGAGAAGCAATACAAGAAGAACTAGCAAGCCTGGAGCACAATGAAACTTGGGACATAGTTCCACATCCAATCAACGAAACAATCATAGATTCCAAGTGGGTTTTCACACAAAAATAAATACAGGGTAAGACAAAAAGGAAAGCCAGGTTAGTAGCCAGAGGATTTAAGCAAGATGTTAATGCAGAGGAAGATGTTTATGCACCTGTGGCACGCATGGTAAGTGTGAGAGTTATGCTTGCGTTGGCTGTTGAGTACGATTGTTTTTTGAATCAAATGGATGTGAAATCTGCATTTTTAAATGGACATTTGGCAATTCCTGTATATATGTATTTACCAGATGGTTTAATTTTAAAAGATTCTAGTAACACAGATAACGAATATGTCTGTAAACTGAAAAAATCTCTTTATGGTTTACGTAATAGTCCAAGATATTGGCATGAGCGACTTACTAATTATTTGATTAAAAATAAAATTTAAAAGATCTGAAATAGATCCTTGTTTGTTTATAAAGTTACAAACATATTTTTTAATCTGGGTTGATGACATAATCCTTATTTCAAATGATTGTGAGGAATTATCCTCTATTAAGAGGGAACTCGCTTTGGAATTTGAAATAAAAGATATGTCAAATGAAAAGAAAATGTTATTTTTAGGTTTAGAAATTGAAAAAAAGGCCAATAATTTATTTATTTCACAAAACAGGCTTATTGAAAAAGTAATAAATCAATTTAATATGGTAAATTGTAAAGAATTTTCATTACCCATGGAACCTAAGTTAAATTTGGTAACTGAAAATGATTCAAGCATAGTTGTTCCATATAAAGAGCTAATTGGGAGCCTGATGTATATCATGTTAGGCTCTAGGCCTGATATTTGTTTTGCCATCACATATTTTAGCCAATTTCAAAATTGTAATAATCTTACTCACTGGAAACATTTGAAAAATACATTACGATATTTGAAACACACAATAAATTTTGGTCTAAAATTTTCAAAAAATAATGTTATAACTAATTTAACTGCTAAAGCTTACGTAGATGCCGATTTTGCTAGTAACCAGAATGATAGAAAAAGTATAAGTGGATTCATTCTAAAGCTAAATGATAAAACTATTTATTGGAAGCCTAAAAAACAAAGTAGTGGCATTATCTAGTTCAGAATCTGAATATGTTGCCTTATCTAGTTGCGTTACAGAGTGTATTTTTTTGAAACAACTATTAGAAAGCATGAATATCAAAATTGATCCAATCACAATATTTGAAGATAACCAATCATGCATAAAAATGGCAAAAACTCTAGAAACTAAAAGAACAAAACACATTGATGTAAGGCATCATTTTATAAGAAATATTATAGCTGAAGGAATGATAAAAGTTATGTATGTACCTACAAATGAGCAAGAGGCAGATATTCTGACTAAAGCTTTACCTGTTAAAAGGTTTGAGTATTTTAGAAATAAAATTTGTGTTATTGAAATATGTTAAATTTGTTTATATATTTTTTAATGTATTACAGGATTGAAGGGGGGTGTTGATATTGCCCATTAGTTTAAGCAATCTCTGTATATTCATTATACAGTATGGTTCAAATGAAAGGAATAAATTCATTATAATGGAAGTAGCTGGTTTTTCGAAAAAATGCTCGGACAGGTCAATTTTGTTTACTCAAAGCGCAATTTTTTAAATAGAATTCAGTTTTCCCCCACTTCCCATTTTTGGGCAGTGACGTCATTGACAATTTTTTTAAATAGTAACCTCAATTTTTTTTTCTTGATTTTGATAGATCTTGCAATTTACTACTCGGAAACATAATATTTGAAATATCTTACATAACAATTTTTTTTGAATAGAAAACATTTAAAGATCAGACACATAAATTTTATTTTATTTTGAGAACACAATAAATGAATAAAAGATAATTATTTGTAATTAAATGCTTAATCTAACAAAATAATAATAAAAATAATCATAATAAAAAGAATTTGTGAAATTGTCATTAAATTAAAACATAAAATGTATGTATCTGATCTTTAAATGACTTTTTTTCAAAAAAAGTTGTTATGTCAGATATTTCAAATATTATGTTTCCGAGTAGGAAATTACAAGATCTATCATAATCAAGAAAAAAAAATTGGGTTTGCTATTTAAAAAAATTGTGAATGACGTCACTGCCCAAAAATGGGAAGTGGGGGAAAATTGAATTTTATTTAAAAAATTGTGCTTTAAGTAAACAAAATTGACCTGTCCGAGCATTTTTTCGAAAAACCAACTACTTCCATTATAATGAATTTATTCCTTTCATTTGAACCATACTGTATAGAGTATAGGTAATCGAGTTGTCGGAGTTGATGACATTATGTTGTAAAAGTAAAAAAATAAAGCTGAAAACATTAACGTCTGATTGTTTTTATTCTTGCCCAAACTATCTAACTTGAATAAATCATACATTAAAATTATCAACTCAAAACCTGGTTACATGAAATCCCGTATCGATTAGAACCAATTTTATGTATGCTGCGAATAATGACTCCAAAATTTGTTGTACAATATATATTTCGTGACTTTTCGTGATAACTTACAAAATTATTCAATAAAATTACATTGACATTTTTTTCATAGATGGGTAATTTGTGCCCTTTTTACAAAATAAGAAAAAGTAGACTTAGTAATATCATTTATTGCTTTAACTGAATCAGTATGATTACATAAGCCGTAAAACTGGACATCAACATTGGTAACAGCCTTCTGTTTACATCTAAATATCCACACACTGATAAAGATGGCCTGAGTTCTACAACCAAAACAGAAAATTCACTTAACTGCTGCTTCAGAAATTCGTCTTCAATAGTTAGTTGCAACATGTGCAATAATTTAATTATTTTGTATCCAGAATTTTCGATAATATCTCCTGATATTGCTATGACTATAGTTAATATCTACAACAAAACGAAAATATAAAAAAAAATATTACTTTAATAACGAAAATATATTTTGCAGTGCGATTAAAATAACTTTTTTAGGCGACTGTAATAAAAAATTACATTTTACGGATTTACTAACATAATAATAAAATTAAATTCTACAAAGGCTACTGTCACATACAGTATGTCCACCTAGGTTGGAATCATATGGAAAACTTTTTTATTATTAATTTTAGGAAAAAAAGTTATTCTTCATAAAAAGTTCTGCATTATCTAAAACCTAGAATACAGTCATCAAATATCATTTTTTTTTTAGTTGTTTACGAGGTTTGTCAAAAAATATGAGTTTTACTCCTATTAATTTATATATTAATTATTTAACTGCTTTTGCGCAATTAATAGTATCAATAAACAAATAGCGTGAGTTTTAATAGTGAGTTATTATAACTCACGCTGGGCTTCTACAATAATTCGGTATGTAAATAATGTGCGCATTAAATTCTTGGAAATTTTAAAGCCGATAAATAAGTTCCATTGGCGTAAAATGTTAGAAAGATTTTGTAACAATTAGAAAAGAATAAATTATTATTAAAAGATTTTAAAATTAAGAAATTTCAAACATCTCTCAGTAGGCGGAACAGTCAATTATTATCATTGAAGGGAGTAATGTCATTTGATATTTTAACAAAATAATTTTGAAGTTTTCAAATCAATTGCTAATAATAGCGCTAAAAAAGATGAATTTAGATAGTGAAGATGAGTTATTATGCACACCTTCAGAAATAAGAGAAGTAGCTAATAATGCAATACAGGATTTATTACCAGAAAAATCAAAAAACAAGTATAAAGGTGTATATGTCGGAGGCAAACAGTGAAATCAGGCATTCTTCGTAATTCCTAGTCAATTCAGGGAAGCCGACAAATGCCGTAATCATCAAATTTTTTCAGCGTTTCACTAACTCTTTTAGTCCAATTAAATAACGAAAAAAGCCCCTTCGAGCTTACATTAATTTGTAATTGGATGAAACAAAAAGGACCTTGTGTATTTTGATGTGATCTTTCCGAAAAAAAGAAAAAAAAGATGTAGCAGTTTTTCAATTTTTTTTAATTAAGGAAAAACCGGGTTTTCCGGAATTTACCATTGTAAAAATGCTAATTATCTGGGCAAGTATCATTCCGATAGTGAAAATAAATGCACCATTCGAAAGGGGAGGCAAAACTAGTTCGGAAATTCATTGCACAGGTAGTTTTAATGGCGAATTTCTCGCCGCCAGAAGTGTTTTTACCAAAAAGTCGTTTTTTCGTTTTTTTGATCAGAACCATGGACATGAAATTTGCGATGAATTTGTGGCGAAATTATAAATGTTAGACATATGTGCCCATGAGAGAAGTTGCGTATTTTTTTGTTGGCGAAATCTGACATAATTTTTCGGGAATTCGCAGGAAACCAGAGGCGTAGTTTTTTTTTTAATTTTTTTCCCATGTGATTTTTTCCGGGTTTTCCGAAAACATCTAACAAAATAAATATATTTGAAAAAACTAACTTCGCCATCGAAAATGACACAAAAATACACAAAAAGGTATACTTTAAAAATGTTAAGAAATTATTCCTAAGCCTGAGTGTAAGTTCCAACTTGGTGATAAGCTTGCTTTTTGTTCGCTAATATCTGGTAATTCTATATTTTGCACAAAACTCAAGAAACGTCTTAGTCAGTAAAATACAATTTAATAAATTTTAAGCCTAATAAATTTAGATATGCAAGAAATTTAAAACTGGAAATCGCAAAAAAATCAAATTACAGTAATGTAGTGTATACACGAGTTTTGGATCCCGCGGAGCGCGTGTAATGGGAGTTTTGTCGGGAGAATTCTACAACTTAGAAGAAACATACACACTTTAAACTTTGTATACACATTTAAAAGACATGAAATTTGGGTTTGTTTATTTTTCAGACAAAAAAACTAAAAATTGTCAATTTTAGGCAACTTTTCTCAAAAACCGTGTTTTTTGGTCGTCACTCAATGAACAGTGGTAAAAAAAAATAGATAAAATATATTTGCAGAATTTTTCGTAATGTAATCGTATTCTAGACACAATAGAGTATTAAAAAAAAAAGCTTTAAGCCATTGGGTGCATTTTTGGCATTTTTGTGCCACTTCAAACTTTCGAAAAAAAAAAATTTTTTTTTTTTAAATTATTTAATTGTTTGATATCTTAGCCAATTATGGTCCGATGTCGGTGAAATTCACACACACATAAAATTTTACATTTAAGATTAAGCTTTGTAAGTGGCATTAAAAAAATTTATATAGTTTGGCCGTTATAGGCAAACAATGAAATTAGGACCGCGGTGCATTTTGCCCTTCCGCCATGTGCCCAATTTTGGGATTTCTCTTGCCCCCTACTGGGAATCACTAGTCACATCCCTTAAGTTCAAAACGCATTTTTTTTTCAAATATCTTAATTTTTACCAATGTTATAAAGAATTTACTGTTTGAACATTTAACAAATTCAATTTTTCGACCTTCGTCGCCTCAAAATACTAAACAAATTTCAATCGTCCATACCGCGAGAACGGTGCATCGGATCAAAATTTCTCAAGAGACATAAAAATTAGGCATTTTTCCTAAGCTTTCAAATGTCGTAAACTGCGTTTAAAAAATATTGATTTATTTCCGACATGCGCCTGCGCAAAATTGAAAAATTGACAAAATCCAAAATTTCGGCACTTTCGAAAAACTGCTACATTTTGTTTTGCCTTTTTTCGAAAAGATCACCTCAAAATACATAGAATCCATTTTGTTTCATCTAATTACAATTTAATGTAAGCTCAAAATCCGTAATTTAATTCGATCATTTAGTCAATCCCTGTAATAGCTGGTCTGTCAGTCAATTGCCGGAAAAACGAATATCAAGCTGTTACCTTATTTTCCTATCTCAGTCATTCCGTGTAATAACCGATTTAGGCAATCGGTGTTCTTGCATTTGAGATCTAGGATTGGCTGAGTAGAAAGATGGGAATGTCAGTCAAAAGTAGTTTAACGATTGCATCGATTGAGTTCAGATGTAAATAGGTTATGTTTCACATTCACGCAAATTTTTGTAGAGCAATATGCTGCGACATTTGGTTTTGTTTTACAAAAGGATAGATGAATATTATTCTAATGAAAATAAAAAGAAACCTTGGACATCTCCAGAATTAAATGAGGTGAGTGAATTTATATTAATACAAACCTATCCGTTAGTTATACAAACTGTTGTACAGATTGTCTCAAATTGGTATATTTTATGGGGTCTCTCGAAAATGTAGTTATCATAACTTATTTTTTTACACTGGCCAAACTAATTGTTAGTAGATTGTTTCGTTTTCGAGATACAGGGAGATTTCTCAAAAATGGCAGAAAACAAGAGTCTATAACTTCCTGTGATATTACCTGCGTCATGTTAGCAAGTAGCCAGCCAGCAATAAATTCAGGTGGACGCCAAAGCGCCAGCGGTCATACTAAATTTTTAACATCTAATTATTTTAAGTTTCGACAAAAAAAATATATTTAATCATAATTTGTTGCATTATAATTATTATAACCCTTTCATAAAATTATAATAAGGGATGTAGAGAGGGCTAAAGCTTTCATTACTAGCACAAAATTTGTGTTTTTCAAAAATTTATTTAGGTCATTGGATAGATAAAAAAACAAAAAACTTTTTCTTATACCATTTTAAATGCTTTATGGGTAATAAGAGATTTAGAGAGCTTTGAAATTTCAAAGTTTTTATTGCTGAACCAAAATTTGTTTTTTTTTTGAAAATTCATTTAAGCCATTCGAAAGATAATAAAAAACAAACAACTTTTTTAAACACCATTTTAAATGCTATATGGGTAATAAGACATTTAGAGAGCTCTCAATGTTTTTATTGCTAAACCAAAATTTGTTTTTTTTTTTTGAAAATTCATTTAAGCCATTCGAAAAATAATAAAAAAACTAACAACTTTTTCAAATACCATTTTAAATGCTATATGGGTAATAAGAGATTTAGAGAGCTTTCAAAGTTTTTATTGCTGAACCAAAATTTGTTTTTTTTATAGCATTTAAAATGGTATTTAAAAAAGTTGTTTGTTTTTTTATTATCTTTCGAATGGCTTAAATGAATTTTCAAAAAAAACAAATTTTGGTTCAGCAATAAAAACTTTGAAAGCTCTCTAAATGTCTTATTACCCATATAGCATTTAAAATGGTATTTGAAAAAGTTGTTTGTTTTTTTATTATCTTTCGAATGGCTTAAATAATTTTCAAAAAAAACAAATTTTGGTTCAGCAATAAAAACTTTGAAAGCTCTCTAAATGTCTTATTACCCATACCCATACCCATTACACTTTCTTTAAAGGGAGTAACGGAGAACATATTACAGATAAAAAAGCCATAGCTGATGGATTCGCCAACTATTTCAAATCAGTTTTTGAGCAAAAATCTTCAGAGTATAATATTAGTTCCTTTCTCTTAGATTCTACCAAAAATTTTAATACCCCACAATTAAACTTTAGTCGAGTTACAGTGCAGGATATCAACAATGCCTTTGCTAGATTAAAGCCCAAATTCTCCGCAGGTCCTGATGGGATTCCAGCATATATTTTTAAAGCATGCCGCGATTACCTTGCTTATCCACTAATAGTGCTTCTGCAAAAAGCTCTGGATAATGATGTTTTCCCAATAAAATTTAAATCAACCAAAGTATCACCTATTCACAAAAAGAATTTACGAAACGAATTTAGTAACTATAGGCCAATAGCACTACTAAACTGTGTTGCAAAAGTATTTAAGTTTATTTTATACGATAAACTGTATTATCATGTTCAAAATATGCTATGTGAGGAGCAGCATGGGTTTCGCAAGATGAAATCAATTGAAACAAACCTGTTAGTTTTTACTGAATATGTTAGTAATGCGACAAGCAATAAAAATCAGGTAGATGTGGTATACACAGACTTTGCAAAGGCTTTCGATAAGGTCAACCA